TTTGAATGAGAAGTTTAAAGTTGCGTTTTGCGAAGACAACCAAGCAACGATTCACATCATTCAGACTGGAAATTCCGCACAGCTTCGTCATGCTGACAGAACTCAAAGAACTTCTTTGGCGTGGCTTCGAGAACAATTCACGAAAGGTTTCTTCAATCTCGTCAATGTCAATACTGTGTATCAGGTTGCGGACATCTTGACCAAGCCGTTTACGAGCAAAGCAAAATGGGATCACGCGTGCAATCTTATTGGAGTACGGTGGGTGCAGTTGGATGGAAACATTACAATCAAACCAGCCCCCACTAGCGAGGCGCAAGCTTCCGCCGTTTCCACGCATGAAACCTATGATCGGTTCTTGTGCGAATTTTGCTGTTCTGATGATTCCAAGCTCGGCGACATATCAAGATTACCAGCATTTGGTTGCAAGGTGCTTAGAGTAACTGAGCGTCAGAATGCGTTGGTTGCTGATACATTGAAATGGGTATTTGATGAGGTGCAACTTTTCAGGAAGAATGTCAAGTCCAAAACGCCGCCCTGCGTGATGCTTCATGCTTCACTTCCGTGTACGGGTGGGTGCCCCTGGAACAATATCAATGGTCAGACTCAAGAAGGTCAAGCCAAGATCCAGGAGCACAAGGCGTTGTTTCGCAAACTGCTGAAGCGTTTGGACAAACTTATCACTATGCTTCGACAGCTTGACATTGTGCTTGTGATCAACATGGAACTTCCTAAGCTTTGCAGTTATTGGAAGAACTATTTCGTGCATGATTTCCTTATGAAATATGAGATGGTCAAGTACAATTGCGATGGTTGCATGTTTGGTGTCCTGGACAAGGATGGAAATTTGTTGCAAAAGTCATGGACTATTGCTTCTTCCTGTCAATCGTTGGCCAAACTGCAACAGTATAAGTGCACAAAGGATCATCAGCATGGACAGTCCAGGGGGGCGGCCCTCAAACGTGCTGAATCTTACACGTATGAAATGACTGACCTGATCCATGGATGTTTTTCTGAGTTTGCTGACAGCATGAAACAGGTTGTCACCGATAGCTCGGCTCAGAGACCAACAAAACGTGCACTTGTTGCTCTTAAGCTTCCCTCACCGGTAGCCGCAATGGCTGCTTACAATCTCGGGGAGTATGAGGAGGGCAACTTGGAGTACTGGCGAGGTGTGATGACGAGCTTCACGTCGAACACCTTGTTCCAGGAGACGAGGCCTGAGGATCGCAAGACAATGGAGCAGATCCTCGGAGCACAGGCCACCCTTCAGAGTTCATGCGCTATGTGGGCGGCTGACTACGCGCCGGAGCTCATGGATACGCTCTGCGCCGTCAACGACAAAGGTCTTGGCCGCATCACGCCCGGGGCAACCTGTGGCCGGAATAGCGTATACCTCGTTGTGAGTGACTCCAGCCTCGCCCTCATCAGCGGTGGCAAGAAGAACCGCAAGAGGGCGGACTTGGCGCAGGACATGAACTACAACCGCAGCACTGGTTGTAGCCACTGTGAGGTGAGAATGTGTTGGGGAAAGGACCTCACAATTCTCACGTGGACAGTGAAGAGCGCCATGAAGGACTTGAAGAAGCGCCCTGAGTTTAAGGACCACGACTTCTACGTGACGGTGTACTGGTCCGGGAACGAGCTCGTTGGCAGTGGTGGGATCTGCGATGAGCCCGAATGGCCATACCGTTGCGGAGACGGTCACTGGCCCGAGCTGTTCAACAAGTGCGCCAAGGCGATCGATGTGCTTGAGGAGTGCAGGAGTTGGTGGGGCATTGCAAACATCACGATCTTGGCCAACACCGAGGGTTCGTACTATATGCTCCCGCCCATCTACAACCAGTTCATGGAAAAGTTGTTGGATGAGTCGCTCAACAAGCACAAGCTCCTTCGCAAGAAGGAGTCGACGTTCTTGGTATCTCGTCAGGACCGGCTTGACAACTATCACATGATGGACTCCATCGAGAACCGGAAGACGACGGTGGAGTGGCTGTGGTCGTTGTACAACGTCATGAAGTGTGTCGCTGTCGTTGAGTCCCACAAAGAAGATTTCAACAACGTGAGGTTGTACCTTGAATATTCTCATGACGCCGAAGCTGGACTCAATCCCAACACTTTGGCCGAGTATGAGGCGAACAGGAAGCTCACTCTTGAGTCATGGGAAAGCCTTCAACGTCCGATCAAGCTCGCGAAGGGCCGCATCCTCGAAAAGATCGAGGAAGTCGAAATCAAGGAGGAGATCGACTACGATGACGATGATGCACTCCCGCAAGGGAGTGCCGCTGAGGCCGCGCTTGGCGTCAAGGCCGCTCCGGCTACACCCAAGTTCACCGCGAAAGCATCGCCTAAGGTACAGGCGAAACCATCAACTGCTGCGGTGGCATCGGATGTGCGGGGGGCAACCCCTGCCGGAAGCGCGTTGCCAGGCAAGCCCGGCGGAACCGTCATCTTCCGCGGCCAGGAGTATGAGGCGAGGATTCTCCCGGGCACGATCCTGAAGGTGCCCAACTTCATGAAGGGAGAAACGTCCTCTACCGATCGGTGCACAACCATATCTGGTATGCTTCGTGGCAGGTTTCAAGAACAGAGGCCACTCGACTTCGATGAGAACTATTTTGTCGACGTCCATCAGCTATGTGACAAATTCAACAGAAAGACCCGCAGCAATATCGGGTACAAAACGCTGTTGAAGATTTTTGCACTCGATCCGAAATGCAGATACACCGTCCTCGCGATCAAGCACCCTTCGGCTGCCGAGAACAACCAGGAGTGGGTTGTCATCAAGGTTCGTGCCAGTCAGGGACACGCCAGCAGCGTTGATGCTGATGGCGACATCAGCCGGAACCAGTATGCACTTGCGAAGGCCGTCTATGGGAAGTTTCTCCCGGAGGACGCTCGCAAGGTTGGACTGCAACTTTCACCGGTTGATGATGGCCCTGGCAAACTATACCATCGCACGAGCAAGAACGCAGCCGAGAACATCGTCAGGACAGGTTTGGTCCCGGGTGGCGTTGGTGCCACGGAGAGTGGCCGCTCGCAAAGCCATTTTTCCATCCACCCGGTAGAGAGCTCATCGTATAATGCTGGAGTCCGAGCAACGATGCCCATTGAGCTGGTGATCGACTTCAAGTATGCGATTGAGCTCGGAGTGGTGTTTTTCCTTTCCGAGTCTGATGTCATGCTGACCAACGACATCGTTCCCAATGACTCCATTCTGTACTACACAGACGCGAAGACCGGAGAAGTGCTTTGGAGGAACGCCCTTCGTCTTGAGGCATTGGAGAATCAAACGACTGTCGATATGCTCGCCGCAAGGCGAGCCGTCACCGTGACTGCAGACGAGGCCTTTCAGACCGATGCGGAGGGGAACAGGGCCACAAATCCTGAAGAAGAGCAGACGAATGAGGATACGGCCGCTTCTTGCCCGGGGCAACCCGCGGCCGACACCTCAGTTGTCCGTTTCAAGACCTTTGCGATGCCCGTCCACTACACGGACTGCAGCCTCTGCGGCGAGGACATGATGCAGGGGCAGCTCAAGTGTCAGCGCTGTGGACGGAGCACCAAGGAGAACAACGACGTTCAGCTCTTCAGAGCCGCAAAGCGGAGAACGCAGATGCTTGAGGAGGTGAGCCACCGCGTCGGCAAGACGGTTGACCAGCTCCTCATCAATGATTTCAAGGGCTATGCTGATGTTGCAAAGAGAGGAGCAACATCCTTTGAAGCCAAGCAGATCGAGGCTTCGAAGAACTACGACAGCAGGGCCCGCAAGCTTGGATACGACAATGTGGTAGATCGGTTTGACAAAGACGCGACCTTCGCCCTTCGCATGGTGGAGCAAGGGCACAACCGCGACAGCCTCTACCAGATGTCTATCTATAGGTTTTGTGTCCTCCCCGAATTTCCACGGAGTTATGATCAACGACTTCTCGGGGTTGGGCCACGCTATGGAAAACGAGGTCTCCAATATGTGAGGACCGTCTACGTCACCGGCGGCAAGGTCGGGGACTATGACGCCAGCCTGCTTGAGTTTCCATGGCTATTCTCGTACAACGGGAAAATGCTGAGTCTTCATCAATTCGTCGACCAGGTCAACATCCTCCCGGGGATGCGCAATCTTGTCACCTTTGGCGCGAAGTTCCCTACGCTCCGGGCAACCGGAGCCGTGGACCTCGAAGCTGAAGTCAAGGAGATTTGCGGCCAGGCGGAGGACGATGCGAAGAAGCTCGCACGGCGCAGCCAAAGGCAAAGCGCCGAGGACCGCGCCCGCGGACCTGTGCAAGCTGCTCAGCCCGCCTCCAGCTCCGCTGCCAGAAGCCGAAGCTGGAGAGATTGGGGCAGTCAGGACTGGAGCAGTCAGGACTGGAGCAGCTGGCAGTGGTCGACCTGGAGTTCGCGCGGCTGGTCTACTAGCGGAAGGTGGTGAATGCAATCCTCATCACAACGGAGCCCTTCTGAGAGAGAGTAGCAATTTGCATGCACGACGGATGTGTAATGTCCATTTTCAACGTGCAATGGATGTGCGTATGGAATCAAAGCGGGTTGCAAAACCTGCCGACATTTTCGTTGTTGCTCAATCTCAAATGAGGGGGGTGTGGATTCAGGTTCCAACCCTGTGCATGAGTGTACCTTGTACATGCTCCGCCGCTACAGACTTCAAGAGCACTATCAGCAGTGTGAAAAGTAGTCAACGGTTTGCTGCTTGCCTAGGTATTACCTTAGGTGGCCTAGGCTTGATAACACAACACCAGGAAGGTGTGGCTACTTCCGCGCAGTACTTCTCGCCAAGGGCTTCAAACGCATTCAATGATGTACATGGCATGGGCCGCAACTAGTCACACACCGTTGCGAAAAGGGTGATACGGTGATACGATCAGCATGCCTTGCGTTCATGTTCACGCACTTGCCCAACAACACAGGTTGTCCTTAAGGGACCAACGACGCATGTGCTCGGTGTCCCATGTTCGCTTACCCCTCCCAAGCCTGAGAGCGTATTTGCCGAGGACATGCCTTGCGACGTCTTCCTGACACCTGGCCGAGTCATTGCAAATCGGGCAGAGTCATTGCAAATCCGCGTTCTCGGCCCAGGCTTGGCTCGTTGAAACCTGGGTCGTCGGAACCCGCTGTCAGAGGCTGGCCCTTTGCAACGGATCTGAGGTCCGAGGCGAACAGCGTCGGCAAAGCATTTGCAAATCCGCGCACGGGCTGATCTGTTTCTCCCACAGATGTTTCAGGTGGTCATGGTCGCAGCTGAACTGCCGGTTTCCGCGCAAGTGCTATCCTCCCTCCAACTAACATGGCACCTGACAGAGGGTCCCTGGAAGAGGAAATCGATCTTCCAAGTACCCTCCCACAAATGCTATGTTAGTGGGAGGAAGGGTACTCAAAGCGTTTCTCCCGTGCCGAGGAAACACTTAAACCTGGTGAAGAAGCACCTCTTCGCGCTGGAGGACGCCATCTCGGCAGAGAAGCTAGAGAAGGACCGGAGCCGCAAATCCGATCGAGCGACTTGCATGGCCTCCGCGTTTAAGGCTGAGCAACCACCATTTGACTTCAGCGGTTGTTTTGAGAAACAAATGTCTTGAACTCTGGACACATGGCCTTTTTGAATGCTTGTTGCCCAGCCAAGAACAACCTATTGCGGACGAATGCTATTGCCCTCTTTGTGCCGGCCATTGCCATGCTTGCGTCTCCAGTTCTCATTGAGCACTGCTAACTTTCAGCGATGATCGATGCACCTCACAATCCCTAGCCAGCACCACCCAAATGGGTGTGGCTCAAAATTAAGCAGGAGGGGCAAACCGCAGGCTTTGGTCCAAGTTTCCACTTACCAGGGCAACCCATTTTGGAATACCGGTTTTTGAGCCACAGCCAAATCTGGACTTCCAGGCCCTCTTCCATGCACTGGCCTTCTCCAGATATCGCGTTCAAAAGCCTTGGACCTTAAAGGGGCCAATGGGTTGCCGAAGGGGCCGATCCTTCGCTGAGAACTCAGCCGTCACCTGAGTTTTTTTTGTTTTTGTTTTTTTAATAAAGTAAAAAAAAAGTGTTGTTTTTGTGTTTGGGTTTCCATTGTCCCCACAAGAAGTCAGGATACAATTGGTGGTTTGGATTGGTGGTTTGGATTTGCCCTCAACCAAACCACCGGGTTCCAAACCACCAATTAGAGGGACGCTGAAAAACTCCCCTGAGGTTTTAGGCTTTTCAGCTGTTTTGGTTGGGTTTCCATCTTACCCACAAGTTGTCCACTTTCCCCAGATCCAACGGATCGATCGAGCGGATTCGATCCGAGCGTTAGGACGGTCAGCTGCAGCGGCTGTTGTGCAAGGGCCCCGGCAGCCGCATCCTGACGTTGCTGGCCAAAGGGGGCGACCGGGGCATTGCCACGGAGAAGGAGGAGGGGAGCTTGGAGGTAGAGTTGTCGATGTCTATGTTCCCTTGGTGTTTTTGGCTGCTTTAAAGTTGTTTGATGGGGTTGTTTATGTTGTTTTGGAGGTTTCTCAGTTGTTTTTTGCATTTCGGGGTTTTGACAGGGATTCGAGTTGTTGAGGGACTTTCAAGGTTTTTTCCGTCCGGAGGTTTTCTAATAGGTTGTTTCTGATTGACAATCTCCAAGGTCGTCTGTGGCATTAAGAATTTTCAGGTTTCCGGGTTTTTGAGGTCTAGCTGTTCTTGGTGTTCTGAGGTGAGGTTTTCTATGCTTTCCACTGTTTTCTCTCTTTTTTGAGGTTGGTTTAGAGTCAGTTTGACACGGGGCTAGGTTTGCCAGGTTCTTGCGTTACTTGTCCTCTGCTTTCTTGGTTTCCTACCTCATTCATAGATTGCTGCTACCGCTGGTGCGAGCCCGAGAAAATCGGACAGCGTCTTGTCACCAAGTCGATTCTCGTTCTTGAGCCTTTTTTTACCGGCCCGGCCATGGCAGCTAGTTTGAGTAGGGAAACCAGTCCTTGGCCCACAGCCAGGATCTCAAGCACATCACCCAGCTTGTCCGCAGGCGGGAGGCTGATCCGGCTTGCGAGCTGTAGAGGTCGGATGGGGCGGGGTATGCTTTGAATGGCTTGTGTGGAAGGGACCTGAAAGCTGGTTGGTTTTGACCTGGCTGGGTTTTTAGTTCGGGCTTGGACCCGTTGATTGTGAGAGATGGATGCGCCTGGCTGCGTGGGTTGGCAGCTCCATCAATTGGAGCTCCTTTTGGGGCAACCAAAACAAGATAAGCCGCCATGAAATCCACAGATTCCACCCGTCGTTTCTCGACGCAAACCCTCGTTGTGCTCAGGTCAACGGAACTCTGCGCTTGGTATGGCCTCCCATAGCCTCAATTGGAGCTCCCTCGGCCCCCGTTTCCGCGAATGTGGGTGGTTTGAACGTTTCATGACCAAGAAGTTCCCCCAAATATGAACCCTGGCCACTGGTGGCATATGTTCCGATTTAAGAACAATTTTGGTGAGCTTTTGCTTTTGGGAAGTATTGCCCATATTTCCGCTTCCCGTGGCAAGTGCCGATGCAATCAATCGGAGATGGTGCCATAGACTACCCTTCCACAACTCTTTTGTTCGGCCTGTTTCTTGCTGCTCTCATCACCCAATGCCCAGTTGTTCCACATCGCAATTGAGTAAGGAATTTCAACCTCAGACATTGCGCATAGTGTTTCTTCGGTTCTGTGTGGCCTTTGCATTTGTTTGAATTGGGTCTTTCAATTCAATTGCCGGTGGAATTGGACCGAGGCAGGGCCATATTTGAGGAAGGACTCATACATCGGACCCCTCCCAGAGAATTTGGATCAGCCACTAAGATGGGGGTGTCTTTTTTCTTGAGGGGCCCGTTTCTTGGTGGTTTTTCACGGGACACCACCACGAAGCCGCCATTTTGGGGGGTCCAACCTGGTGGTTGTGTGCAGGGCGTCAGACGTTCTCACCCACGGCCAAGAGACGGCCAACTCAGGCAGGTTGGGTTTGTCTCATGGAAACGACAGAAGGGTGGTTAAGATAGGTGTCCTTTTTGGTTGATTTGGTTGAACAATAGAGGGCCCTGGTGTACCTGGTGGTTCAATCAACTACCAGGGAAACTTATCTATTTTCCCCAAAAGGACACCTATGGTGGTTTACCATTGGATTCCCTTTCAACACACATCCAACAGAGAGTACTCTCAAACAGGACCCCCCCCCCCCATCTCTTTTGGACGGCATGCGATGGAGGGATGACCCCGATGCATGTTGTTGTTGCGGAAAGATTGGCTCGTTGTGCCACTGCACGATGTGTCCGACATGAAATGGTTGAACCATGATAATTATCCTGTTTGGCCAAATCAACAACTCAACCTCAAGTCGATAGTGCTTGAAAATGAGACCCACTCACCAGGGCTTGTGAGGAGTGTCAAGCGAAACGCACACACACACACATACACACACACACACATAGTATCATACACACGTTTGCTATCATGTTCGGATGAACAAATGTCAATGAGTCTCTTCAGCCGTAGTAATACACCTTATACCTTGCCCTCGTCTCCTGTCGTCTTGCACACGTCGAGAAGGTATGCCGGGTTCAGTTTCCAGGTCGCGCACTTCTTTGCTCGTCGTGGGGAGCAAATTTGCTGGATTCGGTTTTGGTATGTTTTGGTTTAGTTCCTCTTGTAACGAAGGCTACATGACATGGGTGCGAACTCAGTTCGGTCGCTTCTGACTTCAGACTTGTGATGTTTGTGACCGCTTTCTGCAGTTGTTCATGATGCTTTCGACCCTCAACCATCTGCCCAACTGGCACCTCGAATTGTTTTGTGTGATCAGACCCCGAACGGGAAGAACATGCTGGGGTGTTGATAGTTCCTTCATGCTTGATCTACATTTGGCGAGAATTCAATTGATTGCAACTGCACAGACTGACTCCATACCAGAACATTGCAATTGCTAATTCGGGGCCATCAAAGACAGAGCTGAAGAGTTGACAGCAATCGCTGACCATGGCTCAGAAGCATGTCATATCCACAGATGCAGACGAAAAGCTGCCTAGCATCCAAACCGTTTTTGCTGCCGGAAGGGACCCCTGTCAGTCAGTGTTGGCAAGCCATTTCCTGAAAGCCCTCCAATGTTCGCCTTGTGGCCTACAGACTTAACTGCCGAGCGCCATGACTGTGTCGATCTTTGAGGAGGAGTTGGAAAGCCACTCCGACGAGGACTGTCCGGGCGGAATGATGCGAACATGGTCATGTGGCACACTGGGCCCGGGCGCAGTGGCGTGCCGGTGCGCACAGAAAATACTCGGCCCCAAGAGAAAACACTGTTGATGATTGCAGGACCAGAAGCAGGTGTTGGCTTTTGTTTGCCAATTGAAGTTGCTTGCCTGTTTCGCTCTTCCTTCATTTCGTGATACATGTGATGCTGTTGAAGTTGGGGCTGGGCATGTGTTGGCGTGAGTCAGACGAGTGCGATCCCCCCCTGCGATGGGAGTGCCAAACTGGCAAGCAAACAAAAAGCAAACAAACAAAGAACAGCAACACACACACATTGACACCAAACAGACAGAAACACCAGAACGTAACAAAAAACAAAACACACCACAGAAAAAGACAAAAAACAGCCAACCCCACACGAAACAAAATGCAACGCAAACAAAACACACTCACACACACACACAAGCACCCAACCAAAACAAAACAAGGCTGCAAGGCAACACAAGCCACAACAATGCACAACACACACACAGCAACAAAACAAACAAGCAGCCAGCCAGCCAGCAAGCAAACAAGCAAGCGCGTGAGCAAAAAAACAAAATCAGCCAGACAGAAAAACAGACAGGCAGGCATACAGACAGACGGAGACAGCCAGACGGACGAACAGACAGACAGACTGGCAGGCAGAGGCAGACAGATGGTCGGACGAGCAGACATACAGACAGACAAACAGACATCCAGACAGACACGGACAGAGAGAGAGAGAGAGAGAGAGGGAGAGAGCGAGAGAGAGACAGAGAGACAGAGAGAGAGAGAGGCAGACAAACAGACAGAGACAGAGACAGACAGACAGACACGTAAACCAGCAAGCAACCCCACAAACCGACAAACAAGTAAGCCGCTAAGCCACAAGAACGCAAGCAAGTGAGCAAGCAGGCAAGGCAACAAATCAAACACACGACTACATGCAAACACACAAGCAAGCAAGCAAGCAGGCAGGCAGGCAGGCAGGCAGGTAAGCAAGCAAGCAAGCAAGCAAGCAAGGAAGCAAGGAAGCAAGCAACCAAGCAAGCAAGCAAACGAGCATGCAAACATGACAGCATGACAGCATGCAAGCAAGAAAGCAAGCAAGCAAGCAAGCAACCAAGCAAACATACAGTCAATCAAGCAAACAAGGCAAGCAAGCAAGCAAGCAAACAAGCAACCATGCAACACGTAGCAATCCAGCAATCTTGCAAAACAAGCCAACACGCAACGCACCACAAGCAAACACTTCTCACAAGCAAACACGCATGCGAGCAAACGGCCACACACAGAAAACAAAAAAAACAAGCACACATGTGTAAACAAGCAAACACGCAACCAAGCAGAAAGCAAACAAGCAATGCAGCACTTCCGAAAGAAAGCAAGCGAGCGAGCAAGCACGCAAAGCAAGCACAAAGACAAGCAAGCAAGCAGGCAGGCAGGCAGGCAAGCAAGCAAGCAAGCAAGCAGGCAAGCAGGCAAGCAAGCAGCAAGCCAGCAAGCAAGCAACCACGCAAGAACCCAAGCACACAATCAAGCGCAGAAGCAGCCATGCAAACAAGCACAGAAGCAACCATGCAAACAAGCACAGAAGCAAACATGCAAAGGAGCTACAGCGCCAATTTGGCAAAGAGAGGAACAATCAACCACCCCACCACTTGACCTTATGGTGCTGCCTGAGTTGCACAGGAGCTCCTGGACAGGCTGTGTGTGCTGCAGGCCCGGCTTGGCGAGCTCATATTGATTGGCTCAGCTGCCGCGAAAGGGTAGCCCAGTGCAGGTGATAACCCCCGGTGAGAGATACCGGATACTGGAAGATCCTGTGGCAGGTGTTTTTTTCTTTTTAGGGGGACCACCTAAAATGGTGTTGTGTCGTTTACGTAGGTTTCCTGTACCAAAACTGGTCCCCTCAGCCTTTGGACCGACCAGATCCGCAGGACGAGATCCACCGCCGCGCGGCGCGCGAGCGCAAAAGCGGGTGCCTCGAGAGGAGGAAGCGTGTGCAGTGTGCTCAGTGCGGCGCTGCAGGCGCAGAGAGAACATGCACACCCGCTTTACGGTGGATGCCCCCTTCATATTGCAAGTAAGTCAACCACAAACCATGGGATGTTATATACACGGGTTCCCTTGTTCCCTACTTGCAATATTTATGGCGTCCACCGTAGCTCGTGTTTTTTTTCCCCGTTGTTTTTGCAGCTAGGCGGCAGCATGAGTATACTTTCCCGCAGAGTTGCACCCTGACTGGAAGTGGATGGATATTCGAAGCGCGGCAACCCCCCCCCTTTGACCCAACATGTTGATACATACACTGCACAAACATAGAGGCACACACACACAAGCAGGCCGGAATGTTGATACACGCCCACGTGCACACCTGACTGACTGCTCATAGCAGAGAGCATGTTATTACATACGCCCCCGCGCACTTGCTTGACTACACGCACTGGAGCCCAAATGTTGATATACATGCCCGCGCAACGGCACACAAGCGAACTATTGTTGCACATGCCCGCGCACGCAGTTGCGTGACAGTGCACACACACACATGCACACATACAGGCCAAATTCTTAACATTCCTATCGCAGAAGAGCACAGCAGGCATTCGTGCCAAAAGATCTGCAAGCGAAAGCTTGCAGGCAAGACATTTGAGCCAACCGATCCTTCCATTTGCTTCAGAATATGTTTCATGCTCCTCAGGCAAATTAAAATGGAATCCATCACTACCGAACATGGTTTTTTCCAGGGGGCTTAGACTGAAGTAAATGGAGGACTCAAGTCCTGTTTCTTAGTGCTTGTGGCCCGCAAAAAAATGTGCGGCAGAAGTTTTGGAGCACGAAGTGGCACGCACGTCAAACCATAAAATAAGCGGAGCCATCCGCATGTGTTCTGCGCCTACCGCACAAACGAGCTGTTTGCTGTTACTGCTCAAACAAACAAAGGGGAACAGCGTCAAATCGACATGGCCTCTTGAGATTTTGTCCATGAAATGCACAAGTTTAGTTTCATTGGGAGCATTCTAGAGTCAGGGTAATTATTGGTCGTTTTGGGCAAAAACTAAAACCGCACAACTGCTGGAAGGGGCCGATGGTTGGAAACGCACGTGCAAATCAAGCAGGGTCAAGAGGGGTGACAAAACCTTGACTTGCTTATTTGTTTTCATTTCATGATATTTCTCTAGAAAGAGCGAGGCAAACTATGAGATAGAGATATGCACGTACATGTCTTTTGTATTGTGTGTGTGTGTTTGCTTGTTTGTTTGTTTGTTTGTTTGTTTGTTTGTTTGTTTGTTTGTTTGCGTGTTTGATTGTTTAGTTAGTTAGTTAGTTAGTTAGTTAGTTAGTTAGTGAGTTCTGTTCGTACATGTATGTGTTGAACGATCATTGATCGCCAACTCTCTAGGTCAAACACGTTTGGCCATGCGTGCACTGACTGTTGAATTGCGGAGATCGTCTAAATCTACATGTTTTGTTCAATATTCAGTCTTGCAAACGCGTCAAGAAGTATTGGCAGTGACGTGTATCCATGTTCGAGAAATACTGCAGCGGACACAATACTCCCTTCCAACTGGTGGTTTCCTTTCAGGAAACTTCTGGGTTCATTCCTGCCTTGTATTCAAACAGCGGAGTGATAGGAACTTGGCCCCTCGCTTTGCGCCAGGCGAGCCGGACGCTTTGGAGCTGCCAGGTGCGGCTCGGACCGTTTTGGCGGACTTTCTGGCGGGCGGTTTGGGCGAGGCGAGAGGCT